TAACTGAAATATAAAATACATATATCTTAATTGAGCCTACTAATTATAACATGATCAGTTCAGCAGTTATTCAAATCTAATAATCTTAGGTATCAATCACAATTGAAATCTTAGTATAAGAAATTAATACATACGCTGCAAAATCTAAACATAAAGCGCATAAAAAAATGTAAATATAACTAGCAAACGAAAATGGATTAAAATAAATTGGAAATTTTTAATCTATTCGAATCTGTATTTTAAATCCATAATAATGGATTGAATTCCATATAAATATTTTTATATGTAAAACCTTAAATAAATTAAAGTAGTAATTATATGTAAAATTCTATAGTTATTATTTTAAAACTTTTATACAAAAAAATATGCTGTTTAAAAAAAACGTGTAAAAAATATTACAATATATAAAATAATTAATATAAAAAAACGTTAATATAAAATATACATAAAAGCAATTAATTTATTAATTAAAAATGAGAAATTTGTATACGTAACATTTATTGTATAATTTAAAATGTTCTTTTTATGTTTCTCTTAACTCAGTTGAATTAAAACGAGAAATTTCTTTTCATATTTTTGAATAAAATACCATTCATAATGCATATTTAAAAAACAATGGATTTTCGTACAATTTTGAATTAAAATGTATTAATGGCACATTTTAAATAAAAAATCTTTTTCATATTCAACTGGTTTATAAAACTACATTTCCTATTCAGAATTTTAAAATTAAGTAGTATTCATGATGCACACACACGCACACACGCACACACACACGCACACACACACGCACACACACAGGCACGCACGCACACACACACACACACACACACACACACACACACACACACACACACACAAAATACTATATCATCATTTTTAGATTGATAAGCATAGAAATATACATATATTTTATATTAAAATATATATTTTTTTTTGTACCGAATGGCATAGAGATATCCCTGCAATTCCTATAAATAAATAAAAATTCATTCAGAATTGAAAAAAATTCATTTTAATTATTATGAATCCGTATTTCTACATCCATTATAATCCATTTTAATCCATTCTTATTTGCTGGGTATATTTGAACTTTTTAATTGCAATTATTTACTCTGTTGGATTGCTTTCCCGAATATCTATGGATAACACTTTTGAGTCAGTTCCAGCTGAAAGGATTACATGAGGTATTTCAGGATGCACAGCCAATTTGTACGATCTTCCGTCATGTGTCGCCAATTTTGTCAATATGTTGTTTTCAATTTCTAACAAACATACCGAACTATCTTCACCAGAAAAGGCCACATAATTGTCTAATGGCAACCACTTGGCCTAAACGCATACAAGTATAAATTAGAAAAACTAATTAAGGCTATATTCTAAAACGTCCTTCACCGAGAAAGATTTTACTCAATTATATATTTGCAGTATATATGTTACATATATTATAGATTTCGAGTAAAAGATCCCTTATAGAGGAGATTTTGGAATGTATCTATGAAAAAAATTATTAAAAATGTTTTTTTATATACCCAGCAAACGAGATTGGATTTAGATGGATTGAAATTTTTTTCTATCCAAAGGCGTATTTTGAATAACAAAAATTTTATTTTGGATTTAATTGAATTTAATTGAATTCAATTAAATTTAATTGGATACAATTGGATTAAAAAATTGCATTTTCTATTCAAAATTTTGAATTGAATAATATTCACAATACACAGAAAAAGCTAATATTATTTTCGAATTGAATGTCATAAAAATATGCTCCATGCATTGTCTATAAATGAATAAAAATACATTCAGGAAAAGCATTTATTTTAACATTAGTGAATCAATATTTCTGAGAATCTGAATTCATTTCAATTTATTCTCGTTTGCTAAATAATTACATCAAAATAACTATTATATAACACTCTAATTGCAATGCTACATTTATAAATACATACATATAATACACAGATGTCATCATTAATTGAAAAAATAAAGCTTTTTTTCCCTATAGCCCAATCCCAAATAGAAATCTCATCATAAACGACACACATTAATAAATTTCCTTTGTGATTGAAATTTAAGATATCTATCGTTTTATCATGCTATAAATAATAATCAAATGTATACCATTAAATATATATAATGTTACGAGAATAGCTTAGTGATACTTTCAATACAATGTAAAATCTAGTATAGTTCAATGTACATTTATAAAATGAATAATTTACCGTTACGGGTAGATAAAATTTATACATGAGTTGGAACCGCTCTACTGCATATAAAGAACTATAGAACCGTCTTTCGAATAATGGATTGCTACCTATTTGGCGATTTATGACTTCCGGTACAATATGCCAAGTAGGAAATTTTTTTTTTAATTTTAAATAATCAGCTACTTTTTTATTGTTTTCATCTTTTCTATTATTTTCATCTTCTTTTTGTTCCTCTCTTTCATCCTCTTTAGTAGCTTCCCATTTATTCGAATTATCTGTGTCCAAAATTCAAACTTTTACATTTTACCAAATAATGCAAATATTTGAAAAAATATAAAAATACCTTTGTGTCTACATGGATTAGATTGGAAATTATTAGCAGTTGCTGATCCCATTTCTAAATTTGAATTCGATGATTCGTTCTTAACCGACTCATTTATCAAATGATAATTTTGCTGCTCCACTATTAATGTACTTTTTTTAAACGGCACTGTATTGTCACTTTCTGCACTGGTATTACACACACTTTCATTTAATTTTTGTCGCTTACTCAAAACTTCTGAACTATCGTCCGATTTTTCTATTGATGTGTCGCTACTGGTTTGTGCTTGACATTTCGAGATACTTCTTTTGATTTTATTATGTTCTGTGTGCAATCTGCTTGCATCGTCAGTACAAAAAAGAAATGAACTATTATCTTGTGCGGTAGCAACTTGTGATAAATCAACCAAATTTCGACTGGTATCATCCGGTACTTTATTTTCAAAGTTCATTTTATACAAAAATTTTATTTGTTAATCTAAACAGTCAGTAATTATTTCTTCATAGACACAATTTGCATCGAAAAACTTAACTATGGTTTCCTAGAAATAAATTAATTCTCAATAAATAATAAACTTTCATTACATATTATATTATACATACATATATTAAATTACAATATTAATAAAATATGCACATATTTGTGTAAATTATAAAAAAATCTAGAAAAGTGTAGTACTTGATTATCTAAAATCAATATTCATACCTTTCTTGATTAAGAATATATTAATAACTAAAAATCCTTAGCACAATTTTTTCATTTTCTTATAATTATACAAATTAGTGCAAATAAGTTAGGTGAATTACAAAACTAATTTATTTCAATAAACTCAACAAATTGATATCTTTTATTGACAAGCTTTATTTCGCTACTTTGACATTTCTGAATGACAACGAAACATTCTTATTATCATAACTTTTCAAAGTCAAAACTGAATTTAACTTAAACTATTTATTTTTTAGAGATCCTTTCTTGTGAATTTTTACATCGTCTTTGATGTTTCAAGAAGATAAAACATTTTTCTTATTATAACTCCAAAAAATAAAACTAAAAATACGAAGCTACTAATGTAAAGCTACAAATGCTTTGAAGCATTTTTCGATTATACAGTTAGCAAAATTTGAATGAAAATTGAATGTAGAAAAAAAGTATACCCGGAGATTTTCGTTGACAGGACATTCACCTCGAAACTTTCCCTGTATGGCCGTACTTTATTTTTAAAAAAGCACAATTCACAATTCTTCTGTTGCGTGAAATTGGATATAAAACTTAAGAAAAATGATAATAGTCAAAAATAACAGTGTTCAGCGGAACGTTTAATTTACAAGTATTTTCTTCGTGCTGATTGGATCATACTTTCAGATTTACAAGAGTTTTGTCAAAGGTCCTTTTGCTTCTTCTTTTTTCCTTGGCGCTGGTCTCCGCCGATAAAAAAATGAGAACAAAGTATGTGACGCGAGAACAAAGTATGTGACAGATCTATAAATTTGTATAATCTACAATAAATGTTTTAAGTTTTAAAAAACTGACCAATTACGATCAAATGCAAGAAGAATAATTATGATTCGTCCATTTCTTATAGCTTAATGTTTAAAAATCTATTGTAAAGCTTTAATTCTGCACTCTAACAAAGCTGCAAAATTGCAGACAGAACGATGTAACAACTTAATTATTAATCGACAATTTATTAGTTTTGCAAAGAAACATATACGAAAAATTAAGAAAGTACTATAGTATATATAACGATTCTTTCTCAAGAATTGAAACCTATTATATCTTGAAACGTTCAAGTAAAAATCACAAAGTGCATAAATATTTACTTCTCAACAAACGAGAATGGATTAAAATGGATTAAAATTTTTTTTTAACTTGAAATTGTTTTTTATATATATAATGCGTATTTTAAATACAAATACTTTTTTAAATAAATTTAATTGGATTCAATTGGATTCAATTAGATTCAATTATCATATACAATTGAATACAAAAACTGCATTTTCTATTCAAAATTTTGAATTAAACAGTATTCACAATGCACAAAAAAAGATAATATTATTTTTAGATTAGAAGGCATAAAGATATGCTCCATGCAATTCCTATAAATGAATTATAAATGCATTCAGGATTGAAAAATACTCATTTTAACATTCGTGAATCAATATTTCTAACAACCTGAATCCATTTCAATTCATTTCAATCCATTCTCGTTGACTGGCTATATTTCACTACATGATGTTATACAGTAAAATTTATTACAGTTGAAACAATTAATATAAAAAAATGCAATAAGTTATATACGACTTACGATATTAATTAGATATTAAAGAACGAAAAATTGATCATAAGAGTAAAGCACAGTAACTAATGCGCAAATATATCTATTATTAAATTATTTATGTTTCTATTTCTAATTAATTAATTGATTACAATTTTGATTGTGCAAGAATTGTCACTCTGCATTCAGATTTGCCATTTTTCCTTTTTAATTTAAAAAAATACGTTTCGTATGTTACACATGTAACTCTTATAGCAATATTAATCGCATTAATTTAAACAACAATTTTAAGATAAAAAACGCATTCTATTCAACGTCTCCGTTCTCGGATTATTCTCGACAATTTGTCCGATCCAGAGTTACTGGAATCACAACCATCATCACCGACATGGACGTCGATAGTACCATTTTCGTTTTAACTTGAGTTTGATTTGTAATGTGTAATGGGTCCGTACGAAAATACTAGAAAAAACATGACAGTACGTGCATAATCAATTTCATTTCTCTCTCTCTCTCTCTCTCTCTCTCTCTCTCTCTCTCTCTCGCTCGCTCGCTCGCTCTCTCTTTCTCTCTTTTTCTTTCTCTCTCTCTGACAGATCACGTCTGCGTTTCCAGCAAACGAGAATAAATAGAAATGCAATGGATTCAGATTTTCAGAAATATTGATTTACGAATGTTAAAAATAAATGCTTTTTAATCTTAATTTTTATCTTTAATTTAAAAAAAATGCATTTTTATTTATTTATAGGAATTGCATGGAGCATATCTCTATGCATTTCAATCTAAAAATAATATTAGCTCTTCTGTGCAGAACAACACAATTGTAAATACCGTTCAATTCAAAATTTTGAATAGGAAATGCAGTTCTTCAATCCAATTGCATCCAACTAAATCTAATTGAATCCTATTGAATCCAATTAAATCCAAAAAAGGTATTCGTTATTCAAAATACGCATTTGGATAGTAAACAAAAATTCTATTTATTTTAATCCATTTTCGTTTTGTGGATAGAGTCAAATAATTAGAAAAAGAAATTGTTATTTTCCTCCTCTCGCGTGGAACTTGATGACATACTTGTTAATAAAAGGAAACGTATCACACATTCATCAATGCCATTAGTCTACTACGTACTGTTTTTATCAAGAAATGTGATAGGAATAATTGTTTTTAAGATAACAAGAAAAATAGAAGAGATTATACAAAAAAACATAATTTTTATATATGTACCTTCCCGAATGACGTCATTACTGAAAGTTTTCCTTTTGAAGCCACCCACAGTTTAACGTTATCATTATATCCGCTTGTCGCAAGAATGGGAATATGCGGATGACTCTCCAAGCAAGTTACCTATAAATTAAATTTTAAAAAGTCGCTATTTTCTCGTTTATACTACAAATAAGAAAAATTGATTTATATTAAATTTATAAAATAGAAAAACTTACGGATTTTTTATCTCCTGTTATACATTGTATGACAGATTCCGAATTTTTTTCCCAAATAACTATATCATCATTGTATAAAGTTACAACATATTCGCTTTTAGGTCCGAAAAAAATACCATTAAATACTGTAATTAACCAATAAAAGGCAGTAATTAACTATATATTAGTAAATCGGAATTATTTACAGCATCGCTTCTGTCAACTATACTAACAAATTCTAAAAGTAACTCTCTTATTAACAACATACACATGAAAATTAAATTAAAAATGTATTACAAAATCCTGTTTTGTTAAATTATACCATAATTTTCCTCTCTTTAAACGCGCATAAAAAGAAACGTTTAAAGATTAGAAAGATTTATAACGATCGTGAATAAAAAATAATGTAATTGCATTTTATTTATAACCTACTCTACACACCATTCTGATACATATGGCCGTAATTTCCACGTGATGACTTTATTAATCTATTAAATAGGAATAAGCATTTGCAATCATATAAAGCGAGAATTTCTGTTCCGTTATAGTTATACGTAGCAGATGTTACAAATTCATGTTCATCATTTTCCTAAAACATTTATATTATATATCTAAGTAAATAAACATATGTAATAACAAATTATATTGCTTTTATTATAAACTTTTATAGTAATAGATTTAATACAAAACGACGTACTGCATCATAAGGCCATAGTTTATAAAGCGGTTTTGAAACTTTACGCCGATCGTATGCCGTGACATACCAGGACTCACCAGCGACGCAAAATTCGTTACTATTTGAAGGATTAGAATCTATACTGTATAATGCTACATTTAATAAATTTTCTTTTACTACAAGTAACCTATGAACAAAAAAAATGATATATGTTATAGAGGATTTATTATAAAAAAATATTATAACAAAAAAAAAAGAAGAAAACAATTTTATCATATAACTGAAATCTAAGATACATATATATTAATTGGGCCTACTAATTATAACTTGATCAGTTCAGCAGTTATTGAAATCTAATAATCTTGGGTATCAATGACAATTGAAATTTTGATATAAAAAATTAATACAGTAGATACACGCTGCAAGATCTAAACATAAAGCACATAAAAAAATATAAATGTATCCAGCAAACAAAAATGGATTAAAATAAATTGAAAATTTTTAATCTATTCGAATTTGTATTTTAAATCCATAATAATGAATTGTATTCCATATAAATATTTTAATTTATGTGAAACTTTAAATAAATAAAAGTAGTAATTATATGAAATTCTATAGTTAATATTTTTCATATGTCTGAATAAAATAGCATTCATAATGTATAATGTACTTGTTTATATGAAACAATGAATTTGCTATGCACAGTTTTGAATTAAACTGTATTGATGACACATTTTAAATAAAAAATTTTTTTCACATTCAACTGCATTAAAAAACTGCATTTCCTATAAAGAATTTTAAATTTAGTAGTATTCATGATGACACGCCCACACACATAAAATATTATAATATTATTTTTAGATTGAAAAGCATAGAAATATACTCCATGCCATTCCTATAAATGAATAAAAATTCATTCAGGATTGGAAAAAGTTCATTTGAACTTTTATGAATCCGTATATCTAACATCTATAATTCATTTCAATCCATCTTGTTTGGTAGGTATATTTGAACTTTTTAATTGCAATTATTTACTCTTCTGGATTGCTTTCCCGAATATCTATGGATAACACTTTTGA